CAAAACGGGAGAGCAGTAAGTGGAACTGAACAGGAACAGGAGTAGAAACAGAACGGAAGCAGGAGAGAAGAACAGACAGGAGAGCAGAGGGTGGAACGAAACAGGAGCAGGAGTAGGAACGGATCGGAAACAGGAGAGGAGAACGGAGTGGGAGAACAAAGAGCAGAGCCGCGGTGTCGGGTCGTGACCAAAACCTTTAGGCGCAGTGGTGACGTGTGCTTGTATAATGGAAAAAACGAGGCATTGTTTATCCGGATATCAGTGCAGGCACCTCCAGTCTGCATCTATACCTGCTTGTCGACACCCTGTCACCAGCCGAAGGGATTACGGCTCAAGTTACAAAGTATGGGTGGTGCTTTGTATCTGTTTGGGAAGGTTTTGCCACAAAAGTTGTTTCACGGCTTGATGTGGGGTTCAAACCACCTTGACATTATAAAATAAACAACAGCAAAAGTCAAGGCATTTTCTCACATGCTTGCACGTAATTCGCATTCATGTTAGTAAACTGCGAACTTGAGAGCATCCATGTGCCTATTTCACTTTGCCAGCGCTGGTACATAATTGCGTACATCTGCGTGCATGCATATTCTAAAAGTCAATCTGCACTGCCATCTGCAGCGAGTGCTTCTTGACGCATGATTAGTCATGTCGCACCACGCCTGAACCGCCCATTCGGCGACAGCCGCGAGCTGGCAGCAAACCAAACAGGACGTGAGTAGCTGTGTCGGAACCCAAGCAGCATGACTGATGCTCCACCCGCCTCCGATGCTATGTGACGAATTGAGACGCCTTTCCACCGGTGAACACTACGGCCAGCTTCGTTTCACCAGCGCCAAACACCAGCGATCGAGACCGCCGTGGTGGGCGTGGCGACTAATTTGTGACTCGTTTCTTCGAGCCACCGAATGAATGGTGAGGCGGAGGTCAACAGCTGACAACAACAGCAACGTCAAACAACAGTGGGTGGGACGGTGCAGGGGGTATAGCTCAGCGTGTATTTGGTTCTACCACTGAAGAACGCACAATAACCACTGGCGTCATTTACGTTCCGATCTCGCTGCTCAGCTGCAGGGGTGGACCTGACCACGACCAACAGTGAGCTGTGACCCTCCTTGTCACTGCGACGCGGCCGTTTCACCCGCGTGCTGGGATTTGCACCGTCCAAATGGAACGAGAGCTCACGCCGCTGCGAACTCCTACTGCCAGCCATCTCATACAATGCGGTGAGTGGATATTACATACCAAGTGCCGGACACCGAACGCCCTGATTCAGTCTCTGTGGAGGGCGCTGCTCAGCCTTACTGGGCTCTTGTCAGCCCACTCATCGGCTGCGGCAGCCCAACAGACGCCCGCAGAAGCATGCGATGGCATGCCAGGCCCGGCAAAGGCCGTCTGGCAGAGGCATAGGTATAGCTGCCGCATGGTTGGCTGAAAGCATGGGTGCGCTGGGATCTGGCGCTGACTGGACTGCGGCCCGGATTTCTGGCGCGACACTCGGAATGGTGGAGCATTAGTCAGACGTAAGGTGTCCCGATGAGACACTGGCCTATTCCCGCCAGCTCGCCCGGGAAATGTGTTCACCTTATCACGCACCTGGCAGTGCTCGTGCCGTGCCAACGCATCCCCTGCCGTGTGACGGGGACATCCGCAGATGCCCTACACTCGAACACCTTCATCCATGCCGTGGACGAGCCATTCAGAAGCCCAGCTAGGTCTGCGCCGCGAGATCGCTTATACACGGGACGCGGCGGTGTCCATCCGCTGACCCAGGGCCTCAGCCAGCCCCTCCGCTTCCCGGGCCTTTCAGCCCGACGGCAGCCGTGGCGGCGGGCCGCCTCGTCCATCACAGGCGCCGGCGCGGCCCCTCCCCGATCAAGGGAGCGATAGCGCGGCGCCCGAGCGACGGCGGGAGCGGCCGAGGCGGCGGTCCGCTCGCGGCGGAAGTCAAGACGCGATGAGCTGTTCCGCGGAGAGGCGGCTGGCCAGCAGGCGCGGCCCCTCGCAGCACTGTCGCGCCGACGGGGCGGGCTAACAACAGCTGACAGATTATCTCGTGATGGTCGGCTCCACCTGTCAGGCAGTTCATCAGCAGCAGCTGCCTGGAGCGGAGCGTGACCCCGGCGCCGTACGAGGGTCGCCGCGAAGATGAAGACGCCGGCCGTCTTCACGGTCTTGCGATCCGGTACGGAGGCGTGACATTCCGAGTCGTGCGCGCCCGGGTGTGACGCGGCAGAACGTGCGCACGAGCTTCGGCGGCCAGCTGCTGGCCTTGGTGTCCGCGGGCGACGGGAAGCCACAGCAGGTGCGTGAAGACCATCCAGCACGCCGGAGTGCATCGTGATAGCTATATCAGCTGCGTAAAATTTCTTCGCAAGTGGGAACATAACGCAGTCTGGGGCACAGCTTCGGGGATTGGACTGCTCCAAAAGGACGTTGAACATTGTTACACCTGATATGTGTGCGATATTTCTGCCAGCTGTTGGCACCTAATGCAGCGTTATCTCTGAAATTGTTTTGGCCTCAAAATGGGTCCTATTTGAAGTGAATATTACACACTGGGGCTGCCCTCGATGGTGGCGTTTAGGCCACAGCGTACCAACCGATGCAGCCGGAAAAAAACAGGTAGAAGGGGCAGTAATTTGATTGAGCTACCTAAAGGCCGTTTCGGAACATGACTTTTTTCCTAAAAGCTCTTTTTCTTTTCTCGTCCTAAAAATAAAAACGCAATTTTTCGGGGGTACGCCGATTATTTTTCAAGCTCACTGATATTACGCTATTCCATCTATCAGCTTGACATACCGGATTCGGCACAGTTTTAATTGCCTTTGCAGGACATGCGTCCGCTTATGCGTAACATTAAGTCTGGACATGGATGTTGCTAAGCAAAGATACCTATGATCCCCATGACCTCATTTCTCACGTTCCGAAAATTTAATCTCTGCCGGCGGTGTGCCATTATCAGAGAGCAGCGACGTCCGGCAGCGGCCGTCGTCCCGTTGCATGGCCACCCGTCTGACCCTCCCTCACCCCGCCAGAGCTCTGCAGGAGCGGACCGCCGCTCGGAGGGTGGGGTGCCAGAGGAAGGCACGGCGGAGCGCGGCAGGCGGCGCCGTGGCCGCGGCTGGCACGCGCCGTCCCCGCCCCGCCCCGCCCCCGCGGCCGCGACTTGTGCAACGCCGCTCGGACGCTGACTCCGTCGTCGGCGGCCGCGCCAGATGGCCGGCCTGCGGCGGCCGCACGCCCGGCACTGAGTGGAGATCGAGGGGCCGGGCGGGACGGAGGGGAGGTCGGATGTACGGAGAAGGGACACGGGCTCTCGTCAGATGCCCCGCCAGCAGCGGGAGCACGTCCGAGAGTGCGACGGAGTGCGCCACAAAGAAACGGCGCCGGTCCGGGTCATCCAAGAATCATGACGCAGACAGCCGTGTCTCTACAAGGACCCAACACCGCCTTATCACAACCTCAACTCTCATTGTGTTCATAATTTGTTTGTACAAATCACAATTGGTCCTCTCCATCACACTCTCCACCCCCTCACGTCAACTAGCGATGGCAATGAGTTGTTATAGGAGTGTGCATGCCCTAATGTATGCCCCTTTTATTCGGCCACTCACTCCGAGTTCCCATGTGCATTGTATGTTAGTCGTCATTTGTTGATATTACCATTTATTCATCTTTCTGTCATTCGTGACTAAGAACAACTTTCCTAGCTAAATTAGCATGCAAAAAACAAATGATTAGTTATGTTTTTGAGGCATGGAAACTGGTCTTGCCGGTGATAGCGTCACTCTTTGTGTTTTCGGTGCCAAAACACAAATAAAAGCCTTCGAAAGTCCCCTTCAATGTAGTCTGCAAGAGCCAAGGTTAACCGATTCACAAAGAGAGCACATCCTGCATGAATCAGCCGCCGCTGGTCTTCCGGGCGACATTAGGTGCGGTTATACCGGGCAAAACCAAGGACATTGCCAGCCGCCAGACGAGCAAACCAGCAAGGATCTTCCTGATGTAGACAGATTCACAACAAACGTTTGGTTACCCACCAGGACGTCCAGAGGGCCCATTCGTCAAGGAACCCATGCGATTTAGTATCACGTTACACAAATATCGGAGCTTACCATCCTCATCCATTTCGATGGGTCGAGTGGGGTCGACTGTTGTGAACGAACCTTACCGCCTTAGACTCGCAAACTTTAATGCCCAGGTAGGAGCGTTTCAGATTTGACGCGAGAGTAAGCCGTACGCATGACACTGGTGAGTTAACGGCAGGAGACAGTACCTGCACAGTACGACAGACCAATCCCGCCCCGAGTTAACGGCAGGTGACAATACCTACGCAGTACGACAGACCATTCCCGTCCCGAATTTAAGCGAGTCCCAATGACCGTTTCAGGACCACTATTGGCCGTGCCTTCGCCTACCAACGCCGCATGGACCAGCCTGCCGTGCTTCATTTGCGTAGGACAAGCAAGCCTCTGGTGACCTTCAAAGCGTCATCAGGGTCATCACGCGTCATCAGGGTCACATATGCCGCTGCCGCAGGAGGGGTTCGGTCGCCGCGTGACACCAGCAGCCAGCGGGGAAGCACAGCGCGACGGCGGCATCAGCGCCGCCAGCAGCGGTGACGTCAGGCGGCAGAGCCGGCCCGGCAGTGCAGGTGGGAGGGGGCACGCTCGTCAGTCCGCCGTGAGGTAGACACGTCCGATCGTGTTCCATGGACGCGGTTATGTGATTCACCTGTGGTGGTCCGTCAATGATTGACCATAGGGGTTCGGCTGGCAGGGGCGGCCGTATTGTGAGAATGTGTCTCGTAAGACATCAACTGAAATTTTTGTTGAGCTGGAGTTAATAAAATGGGTGAGAAAAGCCACGGTTTTCGCGACAAGCCGTGCTTAGTATGGCCCATGCTTTCGAAACTACCTCCGCAAAACGTCACCGGGAATTTCTTGAAAAAACAGCTTTACAGACGATGGCTCTCGCGGCGCCACCACGAGCCCACTAACCTGTTGCCCCAGTCCACCTTGGCCGTGACCTTGACCCGCAGCTCACGCGTCTGGTCCTGGGTTAGCGTGCCCGTGATCAGCTGGCGCCGCCAGTCGAGCAGCTCGTGCATCACCTTCCAGAGCGCGGACACCTCCAGCGTTTCCCGGCCCTGAAACAACGACATACATTCCGTCTGCTGACGTCCACTTGGCGGCGCCGGCCTCTGACGTCACCGGCTCTTGCGGAGATCCTCCGCAGTCTCACGGCGGCGAACGCCAAGGAAGCAATACAGCCGGTGTGGGTGTTGATCCCTTGACTTCTTGATGACAATGGAGGGTCTCGACCAATCTAATGGGGTGTATCCGAGGGACAAACAAGCCTCACCATGCACCGGGTGGGCCACGACGCACGCTGGCTGTGAAGGCATGCCGGGTGTGTGGTTTGTGTGTAGCGTACAAATGCCCCCACTGCGTGAGAAAACACGTGGTTTTCTGCAGGTGCAAAGCTCAGAGACGTGCTCGTGTCAGGTGATTGCGCTGGTAATCGCTGTGGCGGAAACCGACAACGTCAAGCCACAGCCCGAGCGATTAAGGACAGTGTTCCACACGGGCGTCACGAACAGGCTGTCGGCAGCCGCAATGGTATGTTATTCTACGTCATACAAGGTTGCTTACATAATGAGCCAATTGCGGCCCAAAAACAGTGTCAATTCCCATTCTGTCTTGTTCTATTTCCGGGTTGTGTACGGAGTGTTTGTGAACTTCCGCATTACCCACGCATGAACGGCTCCGGAACGGTGTCGAACATTTGATACTTGCTCTCTCGTCCACAATGTCCGAAACGTAAGCTCGCGGAGGCAAAAGCGACACAGTGCTTACCTTTTGCCCGCCAGAAATCCCAGCCCGTTTAGGCAGCGATTGCCAAAAGGGGAGAACGGTGTCCACCAGTTGCCTGGCGCCCAACTGGTCGCACTGGATGATCACACCCTCTCCCCATGCTGAGTCCAAGACATCCGGAGACGAGGCAGATTGAGGCAGACGACAGGCAAACGACGATGACTCAGCAATCCCCCATCTAGCACGATTCACATGCAATGGCGGGGTCTAGTGCTTCTGCATTATGCGCAATAAATATATTTGGTACTACGTCCTCCGTAACAAACCTTTTGTTCACAGGTTGGGCCACAGCCGCGCCATAGCTCCCTACCGACCATACCGGTCTGGCACATCTATCAGGGTCGGCAGGCCGGAGGCGGCAGCCGTACCGCGGTACAGCGGTGCCGTAGTACAGTGGTACATGGTATGTCCGCGAGTGTACTCACAATGTAGAGCTGCTTCCAGCGGTCGCTCCATTCCCGCAGAACCTGGGTGACCTCCGTCACCACGGCCTCCTCCACGGGCACAATGCGCTCCTGGGGCCTGCAACGCGAGACGGAGACAGGGGTCAGCCGACCAGAAAGAGGGTTGGCAGCAGCTCGCGGGCAGCGGCTGATTCGTCACGCGCCTGGCTTAAAGGTGCTCCGATTTGCCGATGTCAAAAGTAAGTAGTCCTATGAACAGCAATGCTGGTCGGTTCGAGTCGAGACACGAAATGCGGTGAAAGGATCTCAAGGACCAGCAGCGGGGAGATTTTCAAAGTTCGATAAAATGTATCAATCTGGTGTACTGTACATGTCCCGATATCGTGACAGACATGAATGGTTAAGGGAAGCTACAGCAGAGAGGGTTTCCCAGCACTTTCGTCATCACAGCGCTTTGTCATCAATGACCACTGCATGTGATCATTGTCAACAGACTGAGCGCATGGTCAATGCACCCTCCATGTTCGTTCAGACCAGCTCTGCCGGGCGTGGAAGGTGAATCAATGCTCACACACTCGCCACGCTGTGGAGCGAACATGCCTGCACCGGGCTGTAATGACGTAGAGGCTCCACCGTGCTCCAACTAGTTAGTTGCATGGCAACGTCTCAGCTCCTTCAAGACAATGATAATCCTATTGTGAACGCACCGGGATGTTACTAACAATCCTCGCTCGCGCACTGCGGCCATAAGAAACCTCCGCGATGAAAACGTCCCTCGCTGTTTAGCGTTGAGCGCTGCACACAGACGTATAGAAACCTACAACGCTATTTAGAAGAAGATTCCAGATCCAAAAGGATTCCTTCCTGCATTTTCAAAGGATTCATCAAACTGATAAAACTGATGGTTCCAAAAGGATTTTTCGACAAAATTTTGGAACACCAAGATTTTGAATATCTTTCAGGAAAATTTGGAGACTAATCCTGGGTCTCAGAAAGAATTTTCTCAAAATATATAAAAGCATCCTGGATCATGAACGATCTAAAACCACACACAGTGGCCCAATCTGATCATCCATTTGTAAGGCCTGCAATATAGCAACAGGTTTTTGGCTTCGCGTAAAGCTAAGTTCATTGGGCTTTTGTGCGGCAGCAGATAAATAGCCCACGTAGTTTTTAAGTAAAATAGCTCACGTGTTTTACGTAGTTTGACATTGCCCCTGGTAGCGAATGGGGAAGCAGACAGTCTAAAATGGCGTCCCCTGCCCCCCCCCCCCCCCATTTGGTTCTTTTTGGGACGTTCCTATCCCCCCCCCCCCCCAGCGTGACCTGAGGCAGCCGGCTAGTCAACAGTGGACATCTCCTGACCGGTTCAGCAAGCCTGCGTCTGCCGACCCGTGTGGCCTAACTCGCGGCGACCGGCTCGGGCGGCGACGGCGGCGGCGGCGGCGGGCGGGCGGGCGGCACACGTCTCGCCGGAAAGTGAAAGCCGTCAGACGAGACGGGTTCGGGTCAGAGGAGAGCCCGGCCGCCGGCCTGCAGACCGGTGCGGGGACCGGCACCGGGAGACGGGGGCCGCCAGCCGCAGGGCATACCACCCACCGAACGAGAGCGAGGGAGCCAACTGACACCACAGAAAGGTTGCTGTGGGGCAGGCTGTAATGAGCGAGCCGCGGTGCAGCAAAACCCCGTATCTGTGGAGCAGGTTGTAATGAGCGAGCCGCGGGGCAGCCAATGCCCCGCATCTGTGGAGAGGGCTGTAATGAGAGAGCCGCGGGGCAGCAAAAGCCCCGCATCTGTGGAGCAGGTTGTTATGAGCAAGCCGCGGGGCAGCAAAAGCCCCCATCTGTGGACCAGGTTGTAATGAGAGAGCCGCGGGGCAGCAAAAGCCCCGCATCTGTGGAGCAGGTTGTTATGAGCGAGCCGCGGGGCAGCAAAAGCCCCGCATCTGTGGAGCAGGCTGTAATGAGCGAGCCGCGGGGCAGCAAAAGCCCCGTATCTGTGGAGCAGGTTGTTATAAGCGAGCCGCGGGGCAGCAAAAGCCCCGCATCTGTGGAGCAGGTTGTTATGAGCGAGCCGCGGGGCAGCAAAAGCCCCCATCTGTGGACCAGGTTGTAATGAGAGAGCCGCGGGGCAGCAAAAGCCCCGCATCTGTGGAGCAGGTTGTTATGAGCGAGTCGCGGGGCAGCAAAAGCCCCGCATCTGTGGAGCAGGTTGTTATAAGCGAGTCGCGGGGCAGCAAAAGCCCCGCATCTGGGGAGCAGGTTGTTATAAGCGGGTCGCGGGGCAGCAAAAGCCCCGCATCTGTGGAGCAGGCTGTTATAAGCGAGCCGCGGGGCAGCAAAAGCCCCGCATCTGCATGCATGCACGAGCGGACTTACATTGCTTTGCTGCCCTTCTGCCTTCTTCGCGATGCTTGCGGTGAAGTCTCATCCAACCATTTTCCCTATCTGATGCATGCCTTAGAAATCCAGCCACCCTCCCCTCCGCCTACGTACCGCGCGCCTGGTAGCAATCCTTGCTGTCATAAAGCACTCTGAGCTGTCAGACCACGCCATTCATCGGGCACGCTTGGCGGCGAGAGCAATCTCGGTGGCAGCAGATCCGGCTGGCGTAAACGTCATCTGCCGTCACCATCACCCTGCCGCCGTCCCCCTCCCCCTCCCCCCTCCCCCCGCCCTGCCTCCTCGACCGCAGCATCCGGTGACTTCGGCACGTGTCGGCCCCGTCGGGGGGGAGGGATGACTCGCTGATCAAAGCTCAGCCGACGAGAGGCGAAGGGTGTCACCTGACGAACGGGGTGCAAGCTGGGTGCAGCCGACGAGAGGTGAGGGGTGTCACCTGATGAATGGGGTGCAAAGCTGTGCGAAAACCGTATGAGCGAGCTGATGGATCATCTCGTCGCCACTACGCATGAAACGAGACTTATGGCCTCGGGGTGCGGCGTCCCTCTTTTATTGTGGGCAAACTGTAGCTTCACTTAAACTTCTTTAAGTTAAGCACAAGCAAAGGGTGTTTATACACAACACTGTCCGAGAAAAACGGCGAAGATGTTATTCCAACGTGACGTTGGACGAAAAACCACGCTTCCGCTTCAAGGCAGGATGCAATAACTCACGACAGCAGAAAGAGGTTGGCGACAACGTAATACCAACACATAGCTGCAATCCGCGGCTCACGCTGCCACACGTAGACTTGAGATAGCTTAGATGGGACATGAAAAAGGACGTGACGATGTGACTGATCACGTGAATGATAAATGACACGAAAGAATATGGTTGGCTGGAAAAATATGTCAGTATAGTCCGTACCCTTTCTCGTTATTTTTATAAACCATGGCGTGCTGTAATCGACGCAGAGTAGCATTCTGCATGCAGCAGAAGGTACAGAATACTGTAGTTATTGAGCCAGTAAGACTTCTTTTGCCGCGTGGGATTAGCCATGTACTAACAGATGGTGACTGTGACAAAAGTGATAGAGGACAAATGCAATACTTTGGATAAATATTGGTCACAATCAAGTGGACTAAGCTCCCATGTAGTTTTTATGGCCAGATGTGTTTCGGCTTAGGCCACATTGGGTTGTGTTTAAGACCAGTTTTGGAAAAGGCGGCATTGCTTGCCGACCTGTTCATACTGCACCCATGAGCCAGATGGTGTCGAGATCGCCTGATGTTTGGTAGGTGGCCCCGTTTGCTTGCAACGAACAGCTGGTTTCCCATACATGCATCATCTCGTTGTCAAGATCTGCTATCGACCCTTCAAAACACCCTAAAACGGACGGATGCGTGGTTCACCCACAACTTCGCGTGATTGCCCGCCCCTCACCGGCCATTAAGGTTGTCCGTTATCGCCGAAGGCTTCCTAGTCTCCAGTCATTGCGACGTCTGGCCGACGAGATCTGGACCATTTACCGATCTGCGGTCTTCAGCTTTCGGCAGTATGAAACTTTTACCTCACTCGTGTTGATCAAATCGGTGTGGGAGGAAATGCGTGCTGTCGATTTTGCAACATTGCAGAAGTACGCCCACAGACCTGCACTTCAGGCAGTACAATACCACAGACCTGCACTTCAGGTAATATTATATTACAGCACAACTTGCTGCCTCTGCTCCCTGTCGCTGAAAGCCCCATGGCGGTATGGCTATACGGTTGTGGATTCATGGTTCCAGTGGTTGTAAATATATAAGCCAACAATATGTCGACTGGCCGGGCCGGGCTGGCCGGTGAAGTTGCGAGATTTCCCGTTACTTGACGCCTACGCTCGCTCTGCCGCTGCCCGACTCGTCACTAGAGGCTAACCTTGGGCACTGCCAGCAGCAGGGCAACATTCTTTGCTCCTGCTGCCGACGAATGGTTACGTCAGGAAGTGATTGTTAAATGCATACACGAACGGGCTTTGCAGTGCTGACGGTCTGAAAACCAATTTCGGCTGACCGGAGGCTAAACATTCTGCATCTGGGCTGAGCTTATACGCCACGAGCTTCAACGTGATTTGACTTGCAACAAACCCCATAATGCCAAAGCAAAATAACCAACGTTTAGAATTTACTCCATTTTATTCACATAAACGCTTTTACGGTGTCATAGATTCAAGCTTGAGATAGTCTCGCCTCATCTAATATCTTGGGTGTATTAGGTTTGACTCTCCTTGGCGCCTGTACCACTGGGACCTTTCGCGCTAGCTGGAGCTGGACCAACCGTCATGTGTCAGTGAATGACCACTTTGCACGTGGTAGGCGGCGTCTACTTTCTTCCGTGTGCCTATTCTTCAGCGTGGGCATGAGAGGGCATCGGTTAAGTGGAGGACGGGGTGCAGCGGGACAAAGGTGGTCTTTGACACGACACCCACGGACGAAGCTGGTAGGTGCAGGGGGAATGACACAGACCGCTCCAAACCGAAGCAAAAATAGCTGACGGAACGTCACGTTGGCAAACGCAAAGCGCCAAATAATGACAAAAAACACGAGGATTGTGTTATAAGTCGCGGTTGTGGGTAAAGCAAACGCGCCACAAAATGGGCCCGTCAGCCCAGATCTCGGCCGGGTTGTCTGTTTGGTATTCGAGCCCTTGGCGGACACCACTGTCACAGTTGGCAGGGGATCGGAACCTGACCGGCCGTCATAACGACAGCAGCCATCGGCCTGACATAAGCGCGTGATAGCTATATATTTAGTTCCAGGCTCATCTTTGTCTTGGTCTTCTATGCATTGCGGTCGAAAATATATCATTGCAACTTTTACAATATGCCGTCATAAAAATGTCAAAAATGAATTTTTCTCAGAAAAAAGCCAAAATTAACTGAAAATCCTATGGGAGACTCAAGTGATCGTGTTGAGGAAGTGTCAATAGTTGAGAGAAAAAAGAAAAAAGGAAATTAATATGCTACGATGCCACTGACTGGGCAACCTTGTCAGTAAATTCATGTCAATGATTGCAGTAATGAATGGGGTTAAGAAGACCAGCAATCATAAGCCAACCCTAATGCCCGCTGTGCGAAACACATATGATGAATCGGTCAGGTAAGGTAAGACAGCCTTGGTGTACGAGAGAAATACTCAAACCATGAATAATTGGGCGGAGCCATAATTAGCTCCGGCCTGTCCAATCAGCATGGCCGATCGCTCGGCGCGCGGCGCCTAATGACGAAGTTATCCGCCGTTTGTACGCATGGTACTCCGTACGAACTAGTACGACGTCCTCGGTGAACGGAATCACGGCCGAGCCGTCAGCCCCGCGTCATGTCTCAGTCAGCCGGAACAGGCTCAGAGCCGGCGCCCAACAGCAATCCACCGTCAGCGCTCCCGCAGTGCTCCGGCGGCGCAGCGCACACGCTGTTTGCATACAGTGTACGTCAGCACGCGGGCGCCTGGCAAACGGGTCTGGAGCGCCCCGCTGAGTCACGGACGCTTCCGTCCGGCCGTCGCGGGACGACCTGTTTCTGACGCACTGTGATAATGCGCCGCTGCGGGAGCGCCGGAGGCCGACCGGGTCGTGGTCGACTCATTTTTCGACGAAACGTGACATGCGCCGTCTTCCCTCGTGTGGCATGACGCTCCTGTGAGTTCTGACTCGCTTGGTATGCTATTTAAGTGGTAAAAAAGGACGCGATTGTGAATGTATGCAGCATACACTAAACACATAACTGACGTGGTGACCACGGGGCGTTGAAGCACTGGGTGCCTGCACCCCCATCCCCTTTCCTGAGTTACGATGCACAAGCTTGGTAGCATTTCGTGGATACTTGAAGAGCATTTTGGCGCGTGAGAAACCGGACAAAACAGTCCCCATCCTGTGTGAGTGCCAGTTGACACCAAAAAGCCTTTTGACATATCACACAACCATCAAAGCGCTGTTGCTTCTCTTTCTGCAACCAGGAAGGCAAACATTGTGAGCACAGTAACAAAAAACCCGTTCAACAACGCAGCCATGAGCCAGGCCGGAGACAATGATCAAACAAAAGTGCGATAGCTCCTGCGATGCCTGTTCACCGTCCATTCGCTCGGTCCGTGCATAGGTCCGGGTAACCAGATGCCTGTTCACCGTCCATTCGCTCTGCCCGTGCATAGGTCCGGGAAACCAGATGCTTGTTCACTGTCCATTCGCTCGGTAAGTGCATAGGTCCGGGTAACCAGATGTGTCTGGCGGCTGTGACGCCAACTCACACTGGCAGTTCACCAGGGACAGGCCTGGGGCGCAGCGGGTGTGGTTCTCAAACGTCAGGCACTAGCCACGGGACGACAGCCGATGCTTAGCAGCAGCTCCGGATAGCATCGAGTGCCCTTGGCTGCACCTGTGTCGGAAACTAATTGACTGGATGTCGCTCCGTTCAGCCGCACAAACGGATGTACATGTGCGTGCATGCACCAACGCACGCATGCGCGCAAGCACGCACACAAACGCACTCACGTACAAATCCTCGACCAAAAATATGTGACCACGACCAGTTGGACCTGCTTGACCAAGGTTATTAGATCAATACAATACAGATATAATTGGTTCAAGGTTATCTGCACGATCTTGTAAACGCTAATTGGGCATCTATTGTTGCGTGTTTACAACCGATGAATGAGCTCAGTAGAAACGGGTTCTGGCAAGGCTGCGTCAGTGAGCTGAAATGACTTGATAAATGATGACTGTTGAGAAGACAGCTGCAGGCCATGTGGCTCGCAGCGAGTTAGGAAATCACCTTGTCGTTTAGGATGATGCCTGGCATCAACTCTCACCACAGACCACAGACCTTCAGTCACAGCGCAACGAGATGGCCTCAGCTATACTTTGTCGGATCAGCCGATGTATTTGGAAAGCGCTGAGGGAGATGGGATATTTGGAAAACGGCTTTTTTCCGTCATGTGCTAAGCTGTGGTATTTACAGTTCCTCATCTGGGATGACGTGTTACATTAACTCTTACTATCGACCCTCGTTCATCACATCACTACAGAAAATGTTGATAGTGACACTTAGTCGAATCAATGAATAAAGTCAAACCGATGTGAAAAGATAAAGGTATTTTAAAAGAGCCATGTCTTTGTAATGTGACTAAGCCAGGTGCTCAGTTCGAAAGGACACCGCCGCAGTTCGCATGTTTTGTGCGAGGAATAGTGAGTCAACCTCAGAGCTTTAAGCCGGTCATCTCTACCCAGCGAGCGGCCTCGGGATGACACCGCTGGCAGTACTTGCTCACCACTCAGCCGACCCGCCGTCGGTATCAACGGCCGACCGGCCGCTGCCAGCCTCAGGGTCCTGGAATTGCCGACTTTGGGTGTAAAGTAATGCCCTAAAAGGAGGAATTCTTCACTCCTCTTCCGTATATTTAATGTGAGTTTTTCACTCCCACCTGATATGGTTTAAGCACACATATCAAACCCACGTTTCTTTTAGAAGATAGATTTTAATGTGTCATCCAAAACCGAGCTCACTTGAAACCATCAGGCATACACAAGGCTACACAGAACCTGGACACCCATAGCTATATCCTGCCTTACCTACATCTAAAGCACACTTATGTATGCATAGAGCATGACACCAGGTACTTTCGAGCCCAAGAGCCTCAGCGACTCCAGCCGCTTGCGTATATCAAGTTTGGTTTGTTTACGAAATGCATCACAATCTTCAGCTGTGTGCCAAATGAGAGGTTTGTTTTTCTCGGTCTCATGCGAGTGTGATACGATTTCATTTTTCCTTCCTAACCGATCGTCTTTAAAGACACACCTATGGCTTAAAATGTTGACATTTTCTCTGCAAAATCTTCCAACTGCAAACTTGCATATATTTATACGTAAATTAATTAATTCGCCAGCCGTCCAAACATGTTTGATATGCACCCAAGAGTGAACAATTGGTAGGGAATGAAGGAGACAATTTGAAGCGCAGAACTTATTTTTACGGCCATTTTGCCCCGTTAAACCTCAAGTTAGCCGTTTCTTTGGCTCATGGCTGGGCTCAATAATGATAAATCTAAGCCATTTCAGTTTCACCTGCTCATTACGTTATATTATCCTGCAGTACATAGCCTTGGGACAGACCTGGCGCAGCTAATGCGGAAGTGTTTGGTAGCGAAATGAGTCTTAAGCTCGTAGGCTGGAGGGCTTGGTTGCTATTTGTATTCTGTGGATGGGTTGGATAACCATCTGTCAACAAACCATGCGAGAGATATTAACTTTTCGTGTGGGGGAGCAGAAGGAAGCCTGCCCCTAAAAATCCTGTAAGTTTCTCCTGTGGACCAACTAGTGCCTAACCTTACCTGCTTTCACTACATGATACTATATTTTTAGCACAAGAATATTCCAAGCTGCCTGGCAATTACGATATGAGAAATAGGTTGGGTGAGTTGAGATGATCTCAGGCATATGGGCTACTCTAAGTTGGATTAAGTTGGTTAATTGCATGGCAAGTGACTGTAGGAATTTTGCAAGAATCCGTGACTCACAAATGTTGCTGTGATACAAATAACTTAGACAAGATGAGATAAGGTCAGGTTCTTTAGGTTAGGCTCTGTTAGGACATTTTCATGGAAATAAGCATTGGTATTTCACAAGAAACAGTGACATGATATTTATATTTCATCACCCTATCTTTACAGAAGCCAGAGGTATGGCTGTAGTGTTTGATTGGGTGATGCGTTGAAGGGCAGGATTCCAAGGCTTTTTTAATGCCTTATGCTTGTTGAACTTTTGGTTGTTGGTTTTGTTGCTGAATTCATTTGTTTTGTTTTTATTAAAAAGCCCTGTGGAAGGGAAAAGCAAAGTGCAACATCAAAACATTAGTGTTGCATAGTTTTGATGCTCATTACACTATTATGAAATTTTTATTCCTTAATTTAGTCTGTTTCACTGGCATGACCTAGGATGTTAAAAACATGTTTGCCGTGTCACTGGCCAGCCCACCTCAGCGGCCGGATTCTTAACCACCAACTCGACCCGCTATCGGCATCACCGACCGACTAGGCACCGCCAGCCGAGCCAAGCGATCGGATTCCTCTGCATGGACCGGGTGAGAGCGGACTCCATCCCGGCATTCATCACTCACCCGTCGCCATCGACCAGGCATGGCTTCAGGCGTATGTAGGAGGCTGGGAAGATGCCGCGCTGCGTCTTGTTGCGGACGGTGTGGCCCCTGAGCCAGCCGTCACACTCCTCCAGGATGTGGACCGTCTCGCCGACGGAGAGCGGCAGGCCATGACGGACGCCGCCGCCCCAGCCGTACACCGCTGGAACACAAGAGGTGACGGGTCACGGCGGTGTCAGGTCAGATGAACCCCAGCCGTACACCGCTGGAACACGAGAGGTGACGGGTCACGGCGGTGTCAGGTCAGATGAACCCCAGCCGTACACCGCTGGAACACGAGAGGTGACGGGTCACGGCGGTGTCAGGTCAGATGAACCCCAGCCGTACACCGCTGGAACACGAGAGGTGACGGGTCACGGCGGTGTCAGGTCAGTTGAACCCCAGCCGTACACCGCTGGAACACGAGCGGCGACGGGTCACGGCGGTGGCAGGTCAGATGAACCCCAGCCGTACACCGCTGGAACACGAGCGGCAACGAGTCACGGCGGCGTCAGGTCAGATGAACTCCAGCCGTACGCCGCTGGAACACGAGCGGCGACGGGTCACGGCGGTGGCAGGTCAGATGAACCCCAGCCGTACACCGCTGGAACACGAGCGGCGACGGGTCACGGCGGTGGCAGGTCAGATGAACCCCAGCCGTACACCGCTGGAACACGAGCGGCAACGAGTCACGGCGGCGTCAGGTCAGATGAACTCCAGCCGTACACCGCTGGAACACGAGCGGCAACGAGTCACGGCGGCGTCAGGTCAGATGAACCCCAGCCGTACACCGCTGGAACACGAGCGGCGACGGGTCACGGCGGTACCAGGTCACGTAAGTCCGTGACGGCCGTCGTCTTTCCAGCCGTCCATAGCACTGTGACACGCGTGACAAAGTCGCGTGGCAAAGAAATTCTCTCGTATAGACGCATTGTGGACTCATCTCCTGGGGCTTAGCGGAAACGTGTCCAATTATACGCACGAGCTCCAAGCAGGCATACACAACATCTCTACCTAACTATGACCACGACAGCAACAAACATACAAGTAAGTGTGATAAAAATTAAAAGACGTATAAGGAGCTGAGACAGTTTTTGACTGTCAAAGAAAGTCTCAAGTCGGATCGCGCTCTCGGCCTTACTAGGCTAAGTGTTATGCAGGCCTCATGTTCCATGTCACTGAGCATGCCGGCTCAAACAACACGGACACTAACAGCCATACTAACAATCATCCATGACTCATAAACGCAACGATGTTATTTTACGCCCACTCCTATTTCCCCTAAGGTCAATGGCCAGCACTACCATCCATCGCAGCCGACTTGCATCTGTCTCATGTTGCCATGCGCGGCTGACTGGAGGTCACACGAAACCCGACCTGTGACACATCACCGTCGAACGTTTTGAAAGAGGCGCCGACAGCCTCCGTGCGCCCCTCCAAACACACACATAAACAGACCCCCGCCCAGACGCACGCGTCTGTTATGAGCACGGCAGCAGGCAACAAGCGCGGAGCTGGTCAACTTCCGGTGGCGCAGAGCGCTAGTGGGATCGCACAAAGCCGCCTGGCAGCCGGCCAAGCCTGGCTGTACGGGACCAGATGTGTCTCCAACGTGGAAAAAGCCTGTCATCCAATATAATAGCGCGGCAGTTACTTCTTCAGCGACGTGGAAATGTCGTTGCAGGCGGGAGGAATGAATGACTAAGAACATTTTTAAGTAGACATTGTATGCATTATTGTTGGAGCAACCATGTACTTCCACGTCAAGTAGGGGTGTACTAGTTACGAGCGAAACTGTGGGTTTCAGAATTAAAGAACTGTATGCTACTGGTCTGCGAACACCTGGCGGACACTGGCCCACGACACTCAAAGCTCGTCCCGCAGCGCGCGAGCCGCGGCGGTCGGAGCGCTCCGTCCCAGCACCGTGCCGTGGACCACGTGCGGTGCGTGGGCCGCCGCCCGCCGCCGCCGCCCGCTGAAATAAACCGCCGCGTATACACAGGGGCGGCGCGTTTACAAGCCGTGACTGTCGGCTTTGGGGACTTCCGACGGAATGTGAAAGGAATGTTTGCTAGCAGATGGGGTGGAGGGCACACTCTTCACATAGCTTGGCGAAATGACAGGACAGCGTGTAGATGGCGCAGGCGCATTAGAAGGCGCCGGACGTCTTTTCTAGCCTATTGCACTGCTTGAGGTGAATCACAGGCACACTCTAGGGGCACTCTCCACTCGGATAATCCCACAATCCAGGGTAAACATGGTAACGAAGAAAGTAGAGACCACCTTCACAACTCATAGGCAGCTCGGCGCCGAAAAGTGAATAATTTAAGCATACAAAGCACGCGTGGACACGGCACCGAAATGTGCAGGGTCCACCTGCGCAGCTCAGGCGTTGGCACTGCTCCGGAGAGTGCAGCGTCGGTGATCTCTCCCGGTGTCCACCGTGGAGTCACGTACGGGGCGGGGCGCGCACCTGCAGTGCGACTCTTCCCTGTGTGCAGCACGCAGCAGCCTCCACTCCAGGCAGGTAGATTGGCGGTGAAAGTCCGCGTGGCGGCGTCAGCAGTGGAAGCGGCCCCACGCAGCGGCGGTCTCTGCGGAACTCCGCTTGACCGGCCTGATCCAGTGATCCCGCTCCACTGATCCAGGCCTGCCGATCCCACGCGAGGCCAAAGGCGCGCCGAACGCGGCTCGGTCTCAGCCGAGGCCGTGGCCACGCCCGACCGACGAGGGACAGTGGCGCCGGAATTTGGGACTTCCGCAGCGCACACCGGACTCGGAAACGGGATCCGGAGATAGCATCTCGTCTGGACAATCGGCGTGCCGCGATCGATCCCACCGGCCGATTGTTTGACTTCAAGGGAGCGCTTCGCTGAAGTGCGTGGGAGCGACGTCTGTCGCGTAAGCCTACGGATTCTGGAGGGGCGTATGGTCGCCATTTTTCCGGGACATGTAACATGAGCTCTGTAGTCAAGACTGGGAACATTTAGTTAAAGCGGTTTGAGCCCCCCCCCCCCCCCTCTTTCTTTTCGCACGTACGACTAGACGCATCACAGCTGTTCCTGGCATTCGCGTTGTTCCAACGATATTCATTAACAGCACCTTTTGTACTCTGAAGGCATCTGCGCACGTCAGTCTGAGTTTCATAAATGTGGTCATATCTGCACGTTTTGGCCTCACGGAAGGTGAGCGCTAGTTTCTCTCAGATATAAGGTACTTCTCCGGGGTGGTATGCACGGTTCTGCTGCGCGGGCGCGGACGTCATCTGTCTGTCACACAAACCACTGAGTCGCCTGTGCCTGCCGTGCCTATGCCTGTGCCTGTGCCTACGCTGGTGCTGGTGCCCGTGCTGGTGCCTGTGCCTGTGTCGGTGCTGGTGTTGGTACTGGTGTTGGTGAGAGAGAGAGAGAGAGAGAGAGAGAGAGAGAGAGAGAGAGAGAGAGACGGTTTTTTTTAGAAAAGCATGGCTTTGAGTATCAACTCATATAGCATATGTGCACAATATGCATATGAAGTAGGATACTACTTAGTTGATAATATATATGTGTGAATGAAAGCGGTTATATGCGGAATACCTTATTTGCCTAGTCACACACCACAGCGAAACGTTTGGAGTGTGCTTGCGCTCCGGGTATTTCTGCCGGAGATCGCCACTCGCTGCTTCGGAAACAGATCTCTGTGCATGGGGACGCTTGCATCTGCTCTCCTGGCTTTAGGCACTTTTCTCTTATGTCAGTGAAGGTTTCCAAGCCCAAGCGTTGCAAGATATGCAAGTACTTTTCCGAACGGCCGAAGATAATTTTCAAGGCTTTCTGGTGCCGTTGCCTGTGTCTGTGCCTGTGTCTGTGCCTGTGCCTTTGTCTGTACCTGTGTCTGTGTCTGTGCTTGTGCCTGTGCCTGTGCCTGTGCCTGTGCTTGTGCTTGTGCTTGTGCTTGTGCTTGTGCTTGTGCTTGTGCCTGTGCCTGTGCATGTGCCTGTGCCTGTACCTGTGCCTGTGCCTGTGCCTGTGCCCGTGTCTGTGCCTGTGCCTGTGTATATGCCCGTGTCTGTGTCTGTGTCCGTGCCTGTGCCTGTGCCTGTGTCTGCACCTGCGCCTGTGCCTGTGCTTTTGCCTGCGTCTGTACCTGTGCCTGTGGCTATGACTGCCGCGTCCTCAAACTCGCCTCTATAGAGGCAAGATGTATTAGTTGTTTTTATATTCGACAGCTGTATACATCTACCGAGGGCGGTCAGCGTAAACCATGGCCAGCACGCCCGTGGCATGTCGTGTTTCTACACTCATCGAGTGTGGCCCTCTAATCAGATGAGGCGGCAAACACCGGAAGGTCGTGCGAGGAGTTAGGCAGTGTTTCCGTCGCGGTGACGCCAGAGTTCCCACGACGATCGGTGAGCCAGCGCGGATGACCGTCACACCGTTACTCGTCGGTCCGGGACGGCCACGGTCCCGATAAACAGGTCTGGGGTCGTGCAGCGCGTGTGGTCCGACCCCGAGCCAGCAGTCAACACCAGCTTGATGCCATGCGCGCGTTATCTGCCCGCGCTCGGCCAACACGCGGGTGCGTGCGTGCTCACAAAAACACGGCATTTGCGCGTGGCTACGCATGCACGCACGGCAGCGACCGTCTCCACAAGACCGCTCACGCAGTGTGTGCGTGTGTATGTGTGTATGTGTCAGGGTGGAATTTATCCCGGCGGGCGCCGCTCAGTCTGTGTATTTATTAATACGCGGCGGGTGCGCGCGTCGCCTGTTTGTTATTGGCCGCAGGGGTGCGGCACACATGTGGCCCGGGTCGCATGGTGGGCCGACACCCCGCTGACGGGGTCAGCACGCTCCACTTCCGCGGCGCCGACCGGGGTGACTCGCCCAGACGTCGCCGCCGACGCCGCGCCGTCACCAGCGACGCCGAGCTGTCCACAGTCACCGTACACCGGCGCCGCGTGAGGGACTTTGAGCATGCCGCGGTCGACGTCTTCGCATCGTCATTAACGTCACAACGTCTGCGGTGAGCGTGCACGACTGACGCCGGCGTACACAGTCCGTCGTCAGCAGCAGAAGGCTGTCATGAAGAGGGCGCCCTGGCTAGCGTCATCCGGGGAGGAGCGCCATTGGCCGTCACTCCTCCGCCGCCGGCTGCGGCTGATGGTGCGACCGTCGTCATCCC